CAACAAAGACCAGGGCCCGGGAACTCCACACACACACACACACACACACACACCCCTCGCTTTCACCAACATTCTATCCACAGGGTTAGCTGAGTCAGAGGTCAACGGTGTGTGTGCGTGTGAGTGAGTGAGTGAGTGTGTTTGTGTGTTTGTAGTCAAAACAGAGATAAAGGTCAATCAAGACAGTCATAGCAGGGATGCACATCTTGTAGAACAGTGGATGTTAGTGTGTGTGTGTGTGTGTGTGTGTGTGTGTGTGTGTTTCATTTGAGTGTAGAAAAGAAGAAAGAAATCAAGAGGAGGGGGAGGGAAGGAGCACGACAGTCAGGTTTCCAACTGTCATTTTTCATTTCTCCAACTGCCAACACACACACACACACACACACACACTTTTCACTTCTCACTTCTGACGCCTTGATCTGCAGGGACTGAAATGAGAAACTTCACTCAGCTCTTCTCATTGTCATAAGAATGTGTGTGTGTGTGTGTGTGTGTGTGTGTGTGTGTGTGTGCTTCCTTGAATTGATTGTGAGGCTGATTGGTCCACTCGTCCATTTAGCTCTGACTGCAGGGAAACCTGATCAGGACGCCACTAAAAATACCTCTTCCTGTCTCTCAGTGAGTGGCCGTGACATCACATCCTGTCCTCATGAATGAACACTGTTTCTTTTGGTCCGAAGCATTAATTCCGATCCTTCCGGACTAATTTCCTTCCTTTTCTTAACAACATGAGCCGTAGCTTTCATCCAGTGGACGGCGAACAGCTGCAGAGTGTTTGTGTTGACGTTAGTTAAGAACAGAACCAGTACTGTTGGACCGTGAGGTGGACGACCTGTGGTGTCGCTGGACCTGCAGTACAGGGAACAGGAGTTGTGGGTTCAACTCTGTCACCGTTGTCTTTGTAATCACAAAATCATTGATTTTCCTCTGAAATAACACTGAGTTGATTTTTCTCCGACTCTACTTTTCAAACCAGCGTTGGAAACCTGTTTGCGTTTGTTTAAGAACTGCAGTCAAAGATAAACACGACACGGACGACTGTTAACTGTCGCAACAACTAACCACCGACAGAACAACAGACTTTTTAATCTCTAATCTCAAACAGTTATAAACATTTTACGACTAAACAGGCCTTACGTAACCCTACCAACCTCAACTTACTTGTCATTCGGTTTTAACAGCTACTTTGTATCCTATGAGTTGTTTTACTGCCACCTACTGGCTTTGTTTTTTACCAGTGTAATATTTTTAAATATAAGTGTCCCTGTCACTTCCAAATGCAATCCTTCTCTATGTAGGATATGAAGTAATGAGACGTGAATATGACGTAAAGAACCACAGCTCCTGTAGGAGACAAACAACTGCAAACGTATATATTAATTAAAAATAAAAGACATCATTTGAAATAGAATTAAAAATAAAAGATTTGAAATATATATTTTTTTCCCCACATTTTAAGTGATTCAAACTTGGTGACCATATTTTTTAGGGAATGTAATATGAGAAAAAAATCAGAATGGAGCTCCATATAATTTCTGTGACACGTTGGAAAAAAAAAACACTGAGGAAGATGATTTTATATCATTTTGTTGTTTATTTGTTGTCAATTCCTGCGAACTT